AGCGCCTGACGTAACCATTTTGGAAAGGAATGTTGTTAGTGTTTAATGAATCAATTTTCTCCACTTACTGCCTAACAAATTTTAGGATGTCCTGCATTTCTTCGAAATGCCCTTTTTCCACCATGCGATCCGTCTCGTCCACAATCAAGCCACACCAATCCGCTCCAATCCGAAAGATACTGGCAGACAGGTACACCCTCTTCCTGAAAATTTCCATTCTCTGACTGACTTCACCATTAAAAACTGAAAATCTTACCATTTCCTTCATCATGGCCCAGAGGCGTCCAGGAGTTGCTACAATCACTTCAGGTTTCTGCTCTCTAAGAATACGAGCCTTGCCGTTACTTGAGCTGCCACCAACGATGAAGAATGCCGTAATGATTTTTTTCATCAACAACAAATTCCACAACATTTGGTACAGTAACACATTTGGAGGAAGTAAGGCAATCGAAAAACTCACTTTGAAGCTTGTGTACTTTAGTAGAGCCGTCACATGCTTCATACCTGCACAACCAGTTCTCTTGTGGGAGCTAGTATAAGAGCTTTTGGGCCAGTTTTCTTTGAATGAGCCTCCAGCGGCAGCTCTAAGAGTCGAGTAGCCATCGGTATCGCATAGGCTAAAGTCTTACCACTGCCCTAAATTTGGAGAGAAAAAAAAACCTTATCAACACACATATTGGTACTTTCCAAGCCTTTTTGATCCGCCTACCGTCTCTGCTGCTCCCAGTACATCACAGTGATCTCGAACGGCTAGAGGAAGCACTTGTTTGTATCTCGGTCAGACGTCTCCTTGAAGCTGGAAGTGTACTAATCGCAATCATTAGATTACAAAAGAACCTGCTTAATAGCGCTTGAGGAGTTCTAACACTTCTTTTCTACTTCGGAGCGCATTCGTGTTCTGGTTTAGGCGCACTCACGACATCGGCATAGTTGCGACAAAAAGGAAAAAACGTTGCACCGCATATCTCTCAAACTTCTTCCTGAATTCTTGCTGGAGAAAGGTGTTTGAGTGGGCAATCGTCATTCGAGTAATTAATAGTGATTTGTTTGCTGTCTGAGTTACTCTGAGTATAAAGTTATGCGATTGTGTCACCTCGCATTCTGATATGTTAATACTTCACTGAACCCTAAGCGACTTATAATTTGCTGTGCTCATGTTTTGATTTTAAGATCGTTTATGAATTGAATAATGATGAGTTCATCTTTGACGAAACAAACTTACCCCAATTCTCGAATAGCCCACATGATGGGTTGAGGTAGGTACAGCTCGTCCCATGGCGACTTCAATATTTCTTTTGAATCATCTGAAAATCAATCAAAATTATAATTGTCCCCGCAATTCGAAATACGTGGTTATCCGACGAGCTAACCCACCGAGTTCGTCAGTACTTTCTTCTTCGTCGTCGATGACTATTCTCTGTACATATTCTTCCTCTTGTTGGCTTGATAACAAGGGATCTTTCCGCTTCGGTTGGTGCTTGCGAAGCCTGTGCAGGACCTTCCGTAATAACTTCAGTGTTCTTCGGGCGATGTTAAAGGTCCTTCGCGCGTTTTCAGTTTTCCTTTTCGCTTCTTTTTCTTTTTCTAAATTACATCTGTGACAACTAGAAATAGAAAGGAGACTAAAGTACTAGAAAACCTAGAATGCATCTAACCTTTTTCGGCTCTTCATTGGTATTACTGGTTTGTGCGCTGGTTCCCTCCGTACTGTCAGCCTCGACCGTGGCTTTTTCGTCTTGACTTTTCTTCACCTCTTCTTCTTTCTTCTCTTTTTCTTCTTTTTAACGATTTGCTCTTTCTTCAACCATCACCTTGCCTTTCGCATGGTTGTCGTCTTTTTGCTGGAAGAAGGAATTATATACCCATTCTTGGTCTCCATTCATCACTTCGAAGAAGTGCCAATAATGCGGGCGGCAGTTCAACACTCACACACCAATGGCTATTGTGGATCGGAACTTCTTGACTGCGACATACAGTGCACTTGAATTTGAATTATATTCACCTATTTCCATCTGTGCCTTATTCTTTTTCTCTCTTTCCCTTGTCGAGAGAGTGGATATCCTTCAGGCAAACGAATCTCTTGAAACAATCAAAAAGCCGAATTCTGCATCTTTCAAATCGCCAGTCATTGCGCCATCTCTCCACTTCGCCCCGCTTGCCAACGATATCACCTTCGGCATGACGTTCCTATGCAGAAAGCGAACAACTTCACTTTAAAGTATTGATTAAATTTGCTTCCCTAATGACTTCTTTATCATTCAATTTCAGTATGAAGAGTGCCATGACTCCAACAATTCTGCTATCGCATATCAGTATTCGATTATTCATTTAACCCTGAGCAACATCAACAAATTCAGCAAAATCAACAGTATAACTAACAAAATATAACAAGCATAACAATTGAATGACTAAACTTACTACAGACAGGTGTAAAAAACCACACATATTAACAATAAATTTCAACAATAACAATCTGGGGGTTAACACTCCATACTCTGCGCCTCATTTTTGCGTCGCAACTTCCGTGCTGCCAAGATATATCGGAGACCAAATTTGTTCTGATCAGCTCTGAAAACACCACATGAAATAGTTGCTGCACTTCAAACAAAATGCGAGTGCAAAACAAAGAATGATACGAAGAAGTCGCAAAAAAATAGATTGAAATGGACGAGGACTGCTTACAATTTTGAATTTAATTGCGTATGATGGGCAACAATCTGCTGAATCCCAGTCAATATCGCGACATCTGTTCGTCCTTTCAGGCGCATACCGTGGATATTGAGTATGTGTCGCAGCCAAATCTGAAAAAAAAAAAGGAAGAGATAAAATTGAAATTGAAATTTTCTAGATCATTCGATTTATGATAAGATTTATGATAACAGTGGTGAGCATATGAAGTTCTCCACCTGAAGATTTCAGAAATTCGATATTTCCCCAAGCCAACTAATTTTCCCAACTAGCTCAAAGAAAATGAACAGTTCAAGTTATGATAAGTATGGCTTTTGCATTCGGTGGTGAGAAGGCAGTTTTCTACTACTTTACCCGTCCAATCCAAAACAATTGCTAAGCGAATATTTGTTCAACCATGCTTTATGCAAGCAACCATCTTCTCACTCCAAGGGTATTGAGAAGGGTGCGTCTGACCAGGACCAACTTACAGCATGCTGTTTTGCAGACAGCGCATGTTTTGACCATCTTACAATTGCTCTTCATCACCCCTCATTTAAACAGTCAATGAGTTGCATATAAAAGGAGCAAGATATGTGTATTATTATTTTATTTAATTTATTTCAAATTTATTTATTTATCTTATTTATACACTCGAAATAGTTCGCTCATGCAGGGGAATTAGGGACAGGAATAGAAATACAGAAAGAACTCAACCAATGTCGAAAAAAAATTAGAAGAAAAAAACGCATTAGCAGCAAGAGCTGAAAGAAAACTCACCATATAAAAGTGCACATGCGTTGAACTCGCCACCACTCGGCCATCGGCAATCCACTTGAGCAATTTTTCACGTAGGATAAAGGCAATGAGCGTACAACTAACTCAACTGAAATGCAGAACTCAAATAGGCTAAGCAATAACAAAAGCAATAAAAACTTACTTTGCTCCAAAGGTGTGCTTTCCATACTTCTCTGTTATCTAAAGAGCTATCGATTCGAGTCGAAACTGCATTAAAGCCAGTGAATAATCATCCAATGAAAGGGCGCTGAAATACATATTCCAACGAGGGTACATTTATAAGTGAAATAGCGCTCGACTTACTTTTTAATCATTGCAGGCGTTGTCTGACTGTCTAATTGGAATGGATCGAACAAGCCTACTGTATCCAATGAATACACTCCAACGCCTTCTGTACTGCACACCGCGAACCGCCGACCTACAAAGGCAATGAAGAAAAATGGTTTGGTAAGCGGTAAGCCCCTAAAATTTCACACTTACCAGTTGGGCAATACGTCACTGCATAAACAGCTACTTGAGGTCGAGCTGATCGCTCCCCTAGATCGAAATGCTTCGAGCCAGGAAGTCGAATTGCTCGTTTTCCATCTGGCTCCGTCTCGGAATCTGACGAGTCAAAAAGCGCCATGTTACCAAATTCGGTGAAGTTACGCCGATTCACATCCAACTAAAAAGATTACACATCTACATAGAACGCTAGTACAACGACAAAGTGCCTTTCCTTTTCCCCAAGAGTCCATTGGAAATGGAATGTTCCACGTCACAGTGCCGAGTTCATTTTACTTAGAAAGACCATTTTCATTTACTCTACCAAGCGCCCAAGTTACTAATAACTCTGAAACAAGTCCGCCAACCAGGCCCAACAATCACATTGTCGCGAAGGCCGGAATGTCGTGGAATTGTCGGACGTACAGTACTACTCGGCCTCGAGTTAAAATTGAGAACCGATATACATGAACTATCCGCCAGCGTCTTGATGCTACCAGATGCCCCGTCTTCTCTTAATCAATGCAGCACCAGAGCGTGGATAAGCAGAGTCAATCACTTTTTGATTCCGCAGTTACTACAGGCGCGGCCACGGGAAACAATGGTAGACGATTCACGTGCCTGTACATGCAACATGACTCAAACGTAGGATCTTCAATAGATAAAGAGAAACTTACCACGACACCGTCAAGGCTGCGATTTTCTGTGATCGTGAATTTTTTCACAAGCATGCGATCCACCACCGAATACATGCAGAAGTTGTTCGATTCTCCGCCCAACAAGAGCAACGCGCTGTCAGGAGAGAACTGCATGCAGACGAATGATCTAACGATCAAATCAATCATAAACTATATCTTTTGGAATCTATGACCAAGAACATCACTTGCTCTTAGCAGCATTCTGCTAGTAATCAAATCAGCTTGTCCTCTTGAAGGATCCAGGTCCAACCTGGCATCAATCGATCCGATGAAGGCCATCTTAACTTGAGATATTTCATCAATTCCCTGTCTCAAATCCTTTTCAGATGAAGATTGTTAAGAATTATATCGAATTTAACCAATGAGTAAAAACAGTGGTTTTGAGCTATTTCTTTTTGAGTTGTAGATCAATCCTAAATAACTCACATCTTTCGCATGATAAATTGTGACGTTAGAGTCCACCGAGTAAGCACGGCTACCAATAGTCCCACATGGCGAAAAAGCCACTGCGAGACCTTCCTGTGCAAGCTCAGTCGTCTCACACGTCGAATCCACGATGTTCCACAGTCTTGAACCAAAATTGCTTATCAGTTAATATACGAAGTTATGCCAACTACTATGCAAGAAGTACAGCTCAATGTGACAATGTATAATCACCCACTTCAGCGTTCGATCCCATGAAACGCTAGCTAAGGCATTTCCATGCATACTTATGCTAGCAATATTTGATTGATGTCCACTCAACACATCTAGCAATGACCCATTTTCCATACTCCACACAAAAATCTGAATAGTAGCCCGAATTTGCATTACCTTCGGAATTAGAAGATCAGACTTCACTCTAATTTAGAACGTACACTAAACACTTCCTTCGCACCAGCTACAACTATATCGCCGCCGACTGATCTACGGCTAAACTACCAAGTTGTGTTGGCTCAGGACACACAAGGGTACGGAAATTTCGATACCTTAAACAAATTGTTAATACAAACACCTTTTCAATTCTCCTTATCGCAGAATGGCACATTCAGTGAAAAAACACTAAAAGACGCTTGAGGTTGATAAGCTTACCTTTTTAGATCGTGAGCCCGTACTGTTCCATCCAGAGATGCGCTGAGAATTGCTTTGCCGCTCTGCGTCCAGCAAATGCCTGTTACAGCCGAAGTGTGTTCATCGAAAGTCACCGTACAGAAGGCGGTATGGCCATTCCAAATTTTTACCTGTAGAAACTTTCTTCACGACACCTTTATACACGATGCTTCTTCAAAAATGAGAAACTGTAGCACGCTTGGCTTGAGTTGTAGGCAGAAAATGCCGTGTTAAAAGTTCACAGCTGCGAGGAACTCACGCACTGAGAACACTAACTGTAGAAAACATGAAGGCTCATAATGCCGTGAAACTTCCCCACCTTTCCATCCTCTGCTCCAGTACCTAGCAAAGAACCATCTGGCGAGTATTGCACCGCTAGAATTCGTTGTGAATGTGCTTGTTGTTTCAGAACATAAGTCTCAGATTGCCATTCCCACACCTAAAAGTGAAATCTGGAACCACGCAGAAAGCAAAAAACCTTATGCCAAACTGACCACCAATTGCGCAGCTGATCCTTTACCGCAACCTAATGCCAACCAATCACCTGTATTATTGACTGCAACGCTGGTAATCTGCATATCCGATACCCTGAACATTATTGAATTGCACAGTTCGCTTTTTTATCAAGAATATATTCGTAGAGCAAAGAAAGAAGAGCTAAACTAACCGTAAATTATGTATGAGAGCAAATGATGGTACTTCGTGAAGAACAAACACACCATTAGAGTAAGCTGTTACTAAAATATTCGTCGTCGTATGTATACGACAAGAAGTAACATCGATTCCGGATTTACCGCTGCCTGATGATTCCAAAAGAGAGTACCTAGAACAGCATTTTCTCACTGAGTCGGTTAGCAGTTGGTCGAGGAGGGTTTTTCCAAAGATATATGAAAGTTTATAAATAAAGGAACTAGCACGCTCATTGTGATAAAACAAAAGCTTTTACGGACTAAATTAAGAAAAACACCGTAACCCATCCCCCACCCTTTCCCCTTATCTGCATTCCATGTCTTTATATTCAACATATGAACACAGGTACGTTAACATCTTCAAAATTTTAGGGGCTCTCAAGTAAGAAGCACCGTCAACCCCGTCAGGATTGTTGATTTACACCACGGCCCGACACTTTCCCGAGTGTAATATGCATGCATCGCAAAACAACGCAATGAATCAAAATCGGAGATTTATCGTTGGTTTTTCACACCAGCGACAGAGGAAAGGGGATCAAGGTTTGCTAAACTGACCTCTTCGTTTTTTCATAATAAAGTCTTGTCACTGATTCGTCTTCGCTTTCCATTTCATTTTCCTCCGGCTTTGTCCATTTCCCTGTGAATTCATTGATTATTATAGTCACGCGCTAATTTTTTCATGAGCCCATTAACTCCAATAAACCAAACTCTTCAACCCAAGAAGTAAACAGCTGAATATTGGGTCAATGAGTATAAAAAGGAATTAGAGTTCAGATTCTGCAGTGGCTTTTGCTTTTGCTTGTGGAACTGATTGCGTGTTTTTCAAATTTTAAACCCTCACTGCGAAATTTGCAACCCACAGACAATAAATATCATCAAACAGCAGTGGGTAGGTTCACTTACCTTCAACAAGATCGCCTGGTTGAATCGATGCCGTCCAAACATTAGGCGATACCACGTTTACAAACAGATATCAACTAAAATACGAATTTCAGCTGAAATAATGAGAGCAGTGAAATTACATATAGGCAAGGCAACTTACATCATAATTACCGTTGATAAACTGGCATGTTACTATAGGCCCTTGATGGGCAGCCAAAGGATGAATGAAAAGGTTGCGATAGTAACGGGCACCCACAACACGAACAATATGATCTTCTCCACCAGCTACAATGAGGCTAAAAAACTACAAATTAGGCTATCCTTTTCGACGCTCACAAATTACAGCGGCGAAATGCCTACATAATACTGAAGATCTAAGCAAATCACATTAAATAAACATCAACAGCAATCTCAAAACATAGCAGGGGGTTTTTTCTATCGCTACAAAATTTAACGACAAGGTTCATATGAATTGAAATAAAGTAATGGAGTGCATCAAATTAGGTAAGCTTTTAATTTTCAGCGTAATCACGCAGAAGCAGCTAAGCATAGATATAGTTAACAATAGCTCTCAACAACGGGCTCACTACAACCTACGAGATCAACTTCAACGAGATTTTAGGTTAAAAAATATACGATTCATTGATTACATAAATATAGGTTAGATAGGCAGCGGTCTCACAAAAGCCTACCATCCATCGCCAGACCAATCGACACAGTTCAACGTTCGAGACAGTTTGACGTCAATCGAAAGATGAATCATGGATAGTACATCGACGTCGACTGTTTTCCAATCTCTTGGATTTGTAAATCCATATCACGGCATATTGCAATGAATCTGAAACATCAATCAATGGCTTGATCCAAACAAGAACAACAATCTATATCTATCCATACTTCCCATCCGGTGAGAACTGCACTGATCGGACGGTTCTGTTTGCACGAATTTGAAATATCACAGTTTCTGTGCTCATGTTGATATAAAGAACATGACCACCTACAAAACATTTTACTACACATTTATTGAAAACTATGACAATAAAAATAGAAAGTAATTACAAATGGCTTGAGAATTATTATTCACATCAACAACGTGTCGCTTAAAACGTACCTTCGTTGGAAACAATCATGTGCGATCCAGTGCTATTCATAGCAACTGCCATAATATTGTGCATACAATCAAAACACAACGTCCTTGACACATTACTGAAAAAGTTTTGACACCTTTTTTATTCCATTCATTTCATTTTTATCCATTCCTTTTCAATTTCTAGCGATATGGGAAGGGAGGTGTGGAGTGACGAGCGGTTTAGGTACGCAAAAACACATATGGGTTAGTTACACTTTTCAGAAGTCTCAAAATGATACAATTTGTAAGCGACGTTGCGAAAGACAGTTTATTCGATGACTGACGTTTCGCGAAAAAAATAATAAGGTAACGCCGCAAGGTCAGCCGAATAAACTGTTATTGTCTCGATTACTAGCCATATTTTGACCACTTTTTTTGTTTATAGCAATACTAGATGCATTGCGATCATAACGTATACCTTAAGCTAATCTGCCAAACCCGGAGCTTACTACTGATAATACAAGAGTATATTCTGATCCACTGAACATCTTCAAAATGACCTCCTGCATGGGTGCATCAAAAGGATTTGCCACATGGCGCGGAGCTCAAGCTTGAGACCTCTGTGAGCTCGACGGAAATGGCGGAAGTATTCATATTCTGAAGACGATAAGGGCAGAGAACAAGGACCATATTGTGCTTGTAGAGGGACATTTCAAGAATAATTTGCTATAAGTCCACTACAGCAGCGGCACCCTGGGCGACGAAGAATTTGCTGATATGCGGTATAAGCCAAAACGTTCTTGCCCCCCTTACCCCACGGTAAGAAGCAGACAAGTGTGCTGTGGAAAAAGCACATCGGAACTCACTCGGCGACGGACAAGCGATGGAGCGATCTATCGCTTGTCCGTCGCCGAGTGTGACGGTGGTCTTACAAATTCTCTTCTTGTACGTGTACCAATAAAATAAGAAAGCAGGGAGAATGAAGCATGGAAACAAACCACAAAAAAGAAACTACAAAGGGTACCTAAAGCAAGTATCAATCAATGTATTAGTATCAATGTAAGTAAGAAAAAAGTAAAATAACGAGGAATATCGTGTAATTGAACTAGGAGCAAAAAGAAAGTATTACCAATATGAAAACTCACTTTTTCAAGTCGAAAATCGAAATTTTGTTTCCAACCGGGCTTATCACGGAGTTCCCGTCTGGCGAGAATATCACATCTCCGTTTCGATAGACAGAACCAATGAGGTTCGAAAACTGTAATGATCTCGTGGTAGATCTTTTACACTATACACAAAAGCAGATTGAACATGAAATGAAGAAATAGCGAAATGGCCAACTCACACGGAAATTCAAGTCCATAGAAGACCCAGCCGAAACTCACTTCACTTTGAAACCCTCACTGTCTAAAAGTATACAAAATTGAAAAGAAGAAATTGCAGACTTTGCCGATGTGGGGTGTGGTTCGCTAGAACAGAAAGCGACTTCTCTGCTTTTCGCGCGCGGAGCTTTTTTCGTGGTGCGAACCCCAGGTCCACCCTAATCATGACTGGACCCGGGGTTCCTGCAACGAGAAAAGTTTCGCGTTCGAAATGCGGAAAAGTCGCTTTCTGTTCTAGTAATCCACACCCGCGGAAGTGTTCTATAGAGAGGATAAAAAGTCACATAAAGGGCAATTCATACTTTGCGATCGCGCGACCGCACAACCGCAAGATCTATGCGGTCGCACGATCGATACGTGGCTGTCCACACTCAAACTGCGAACCGAACTGCAAAGCACGATCCGACCCTCTATGTGCACAGAATGATTACGTAAGAATTAAGAGTAGGAAAACTAGCTAATAGACTGCACTTCTTAATCACATCTGTCCTAATAGACATTTCAATTTGTCTAAAGCTGTTAGTCGACAAACGCAAGTGTAGAAGCTCAAGCTAGGCGAAGTCGCCTGGAAACCCACCTCGCACTACAGTTACGACATACAAGTTGTGATCATACTCTTTTTTTCTTCTCGAATAAAAAAAAACTAGCGGGTCGTTCACGGCTAGCCATGCAAGAATCTGGACCCTTCACTTTCCTGCACCACCCTCCAAGGCCACCAGACGTCAAATAAGCTTAAGGATTTTACAGCGAAAACTTCTTGGAGTTCAAAAGCTCTTCACTGTGCAATCAACACGTCGAATACTCAGCGCAAAGGTGGGCGGAACATTGGCCGCTTGCCAACATTTCCATCCGTCGTTCGCGGCGGTCGATATCGTGCCTCGCCCGCGCTGCCGCAAGCCGAGTATTCCGTATTGCCGTTGGTAGGTTTGTGACGTCATAAATGAAGTTTTTTTCTCAGAAAATAGAACATTGTATGACTGTCTTCCACTTGAGATTGTGGCAACGTCTCTAACTTCCAGTTATTTCTCCCCTCATCGACCCGTTGCTCAAAGAACTCTCGCGGAAACCGTTAACGGATGTAATCAGGCCCAGACATTTGCCCAGCACTCTTGAAAAAACTTCCGGAGACGAGCTGCGCGTTTCTACAGGACTTGAATTGTTTCGTACAACAGTTTCCGGAGAGGAGATGCTAAAATTTGTTTTTGTTAAGTACTGCCTTCAACATTGACGATATCGCATCACTAACTTCAAAGTGAAGCTGTGCAAAATTTAAGAGTGCTCATTTTGTTGGGAGGGCGTCAAGTGAGTGACCCGTTGCTGTGCTTGAGCCGCCAGGAAGGGGAGAGATTCGGATGTGAGTCGCTAGAACAGAATACGACTTCTCCGCTGGCAGCACGAAGCTTCTTCGCTGCGGAACAACTTGAACTCGGTCCTTCAAGCCGCCTCAATTCGATGCTCTCGTCTGTGCTCTCTCGCCGTATGGCCGTGTGAGACCCTGCGAAGTGGGCAATATCGCTAGCGTCCACGGTTCGCGTGACGGCCACCGTTCGCTCGATCTTGGCTGGTACTCGCCAGCGCGACGACGACCTACGAATCGCTCGATCGCAAAGTCTAACATCGACATCAGTGCGCTCATTGACCACTACTTCAAGCTTTGCCACACTGTATTGGCTCACCCCGCCTCGATTCTCCCCCTCCAAAGCTTAGTCCTAGGGCTCACACCTTCCTCTTTGGAAGTTGGAACTGCGATAGGCGTCGCCAGGTCGTTCTTCAACTCCCTGTGCTCCGCCACTCGTGGCAGGACCATAGAAGAAAGTTCAAGTAGTCCGTAAACTGGTAACCCCGGTAACCCTAGGTTCATCCCGATCGTTAGTGAACGTGGGGTTCCTGCGGTGAAATAAGCTTCGTGCCGCAAATAGCGAGAAATTCGTGTTCTGCCCTAACGATTCACACCAAGGTATTCTGGGGATGAGCATGTGAACTATTTGTGTTCTCCTCAGCATTCCTCCCTCTTCCTGGTCTTAGTCCTTGTAACACCCACCATCGGCCCTGGTCTGAATGCCTCCCTCCCCAAAGGACATGAGCGCCAAAGTAGGGTAATGACACTTAGCAGTTGTTGTAACTTTCACTTCTGCCTCGTTGTTAGGTGGAACTCTTTATTTGGCCAGCGCTTCGACCGTCTCGTCGTTTTCAAAGGCCTTACTTCCACCGCGAAGTATAGCGAACCGCTACACACAATCTAATTCGCCACTAATGTACTGACTGTGTGCAGCGGTCCACTACACTTCGCGATGGAAATGAGGTCTTTAAAAACGACGAGACGGTCGAACGTTGGCCAAATAAAGATTCCCACTTTACAACCTCGAGGCACAAGTGAAACTTACAACTACAGCAACAACGAAAAACGCCGAGGTTTCAAGATGAGAGGAGATGGAATTTACTTTTAGCTTGTTTCGCAGCGCGAACATTTTCCGCTGCGGGAACCTCAGGTCCACCGCTGATCATCAGTGGACCCGAGGTTCCCGCAGCGAATCATCAGTGGACCCGAGATTCCCGCAACGAACAATGTTTCGCGCTGCGAAACGCGAAAAAGTCGCTTTCTGTCCTCAGTTGATCGTCGCGGGCACTATCAACTCGGCCGCGCCCCAAATCGTGAAGGAAGTGGGGGAGCCCGCTTTCTATAATCTTAGTCCTAGCCTAGGAGGAAGCTCCAGTGTGAGTGTGAAAGCGCAATAATTTATGCCCCCGGAGCTTCCTCTTCTTGCGAAATGGGATTATTTCAGGGTGCACGAATTATTCGGCCAGATGCCTTATAGAATTCTCATACTAACTGCATCTCTTTTCCAGCTAAACCTCGTCGGACCCGAAAAAGAGCTCATTTTGTTTTTCTGAGACTCATTCTCTATAAGCCCCAACTGTTCAGTAGATCGCGATCCACTGGCCAAACGTGCTTGTTCGCAGATTCGGGGTAGGAGATCATTCAATGCGTTCTTCAAGCCATTCACATTGCTTTATGACAGCAGTAATCACTCTTATTTTCCTCTCGTTATTTTTTTCCTGCATCTCACAGAGTGCATGATCATGTGCGGCGAGTGTAAAATCCAGCGATTTGATGTGTTCTCTTTAAGAAAATTTCTACCCACTTGAATATCCACGGCGTACTTCGTCAAAAAAAATCCCTTTGAGAACGATGCCACAGTTTTTAATACTGCGGGCTCAACGAAAATTTTGCTGTTCCAGGAGGCAAACATTGATAGCACAACATCATTTGAAACTTTTCACACGGTTTTTCTATAGCTGTTTACCAACCTTTTCTTTGTCCTTAAACACGGCTGATTTAGAGACGTGAGAGCCCTTGTTGTAACAGTTGTTGCATTTGAGAGGCCGCGTTCAATAAAAGGTTACATGACTATCGGACAGCCAGGATAGTAGCGCGGTAGAGTATTAATATAAGAGGATATTTGGAATTAAAACTGAAAGTATCTGTATAGCGATCGAAAATGTGAAGAAGAACCTGAGGATATTGCCGTGTTTCTAATCGGAATGATCAATACGTATGTAACTTCAGCGCAGTCTCTCAATCTTTTACTCTCCTAATCTCCTGTTGTCTTTTACTTCATCGTATTCTAGTACTCCTCGGCGGAATCAATCGTAAATATTCTTTTTAGTGGAATATCCTATTCTGTTACTGTGCTATTCCACTGATCTCCTGATCCCCCAATTAATAAATGTCTTTCATTATTGCTTCTATCCTAATCTCCAATGTCGTGAACTGTGAACACCTGAACCATCACTGATGTTAAGTGTGATACTATTCCGAATCCTCTGGTGGTGTAAATATTCACCGACGGCACGACTTCTCAAAATTTATTTGAAGTCATCAGTAAAACCTATCTCCAGAAAATGAAAAAAGTTATTTTATCTGGAAAATGAGGGAAGATTTTGGAATTCATCTGAGCCAGTGGAATGGTTTGGGGACCCTATACCTAGGCATCTAGGTCGTATTTTCGCAAAGGTTTGAACATAGTTTAGCGTTGTCAGCTTTCCCTTCCTGGGTAAGGAAATGGAAGCGCGCTTTTTATCTGCGCTTGTGACTTGGTGGTCCTGTTCATACTTAGTCAATCAAATGATTACGTAGTTGTGAATGGCCAACCAGCATTCTGCTTGGTAACTATTCGATTCTGTAAAAGCTTACCGCCCCAGGTCTGGTCTCCACTGTCGATGTCATAGCATTTGGAGAAATTCAAGAATCTGAAATTTAGAAGCCTCTTTCAACTATTGATTGGTCATAAACTTATGCGGGCTAGGTAGTATCTCGCTATCTCGCGGCTGGACTGTAGAGTGTCTCTGAGTAGCAGTAAGGGCTCCAGATGGTGAAAATGTCTCCGAAGGGGGTTCTGACAACCTACAGTTCAAATCGCGCCCAGCACGCATAGAAAGGCTCACTGTAAGATTCACGGCTGAAGGCGATCGTGCTATTTTCTGTCATAATCTAGGTCAAGCATGTTACTGATGGAGCAAAGCTGTCAGGACAACCATAAGGCTGGTGTCAGAGTCCGCGATCCGTCGCGCAGGTTCGCGCGAATCGCGCGACGGATCGCGGACTCTGACACCAGCCTGAGCTATCCGATTGCAGCTTTCTCGGCCAATGTGCTCACTCAAGTCTCGCTTCGTGCTTGTAGATCGAATCGTAGTCGCAGCAAA